TCACCCATATCAACTCCCAGGTATCCATAGGTATTATTTCTCCTATATTTTGAGCCCATTTAATCATACAATCTTTAACTAGCTCAGTTTCTGAATCCAATTCTAGTAAAACATTATATATCCTTCTAATATGTCCTTTAGTATCATCCCTTACTTGTTTCAAAAAATTCCCATTTTCCATAAAAAAAGCAGTTTTTTTATCAATTCGCCATCTCTATTTCTCAATACATCAAAATAGTCAAAAGTTCTCTTCTCTTTCTTCCAATATCATCTGAATAGTATAGTCAATTTTATTCCTTATTGTAGTTGCTAGTTGATTGTCCACATTATCACAGTTTTCAATAACTTGTAGCTGAATGTCAAGCTCTTGTTATTTTTGGGAGATCAAATAGCTCAGTTAATGTTATTCTTTGATCATCAATGTTCTCCACAGGTCGTAAGTAGGATTGTGTAGAATTAATTTGCTCAGTAGTTTCTACTGTAAGTTCATAATTAAATTGTAAGTGCAGTTCCTCTGTCTCGTTCAGTTGTATATCTTGTTGAGTAGGAACTTCTCTAGGGTTATTCTGTTATTCCTCTGTTATTCTTTGGTCTATATTTTGAACCGATGGTTGAAAGTCAATCATCTTTGATTTTTCTCCAAGATTTGATATAAGCTTTCATATAGTTTGTAGTTTCCAAAATCTTTTCCAGTATAAGTTCATAGTCGAGCTGTGGATAAGATTCCTCCATTTCAATGGTGAAATAGTCTTTGATCAAGAATAGTCTTTGATCTTTTAATGAAGGCTATATTTCAAAAAGGTCAACAAATATCCACCTCCAAAATTCTAATAAACAAATTCATCACAGCTGTTGCAAATCTTTTATCTTTTCCCTTTATTTGAAAAATCAAATTCATCTTCAAATAGCAAAAGAAAATAGAGTTGTAATGGGATTTTTCACCACAAGATGTCCTCAGTGGACTATAAACTCTTTCTTCCAAATAGGTAGAAATTTATCTCTTTCGGGAAACAAAAAAAGCAAAAGCAAATATCTCGAATATAATAGATAAAATAAAAAATATAGCGTTTATTTTTTATTTTTTTCAGGGCCCCTAGGTATCCAGAAGAAAAAAAAATCAAATAGTCAATACAGCTTTAATTATTTTAGTTCTTTTAAAACTTTCTTTCCCAAGTAGACAGAAGCTGCTCTCTTAAGACAGGGAAGTGATCAAAAACTTTTTACAGGCAATTAGTCAGGACAGAGAGAGGGAGGAAAGGTCTCACCCAGATTCACCACAGTGGTTCTTTAAGCTTAGATGATTTTCTGACTTTGGCTGGCGCAGCTAAGTGATTGGCCATTTTACTGGCCGATCTTCTTCTCCGTCGGCCCTACGGAGTTAGCTCGGACTGCAGGGGAAGCTGCCGCTCCACCGCAGCCGAGCAAAGCCTCCTCGACGGTAGTCGCCCCTCCAGGGCGATTTAAGACCCGCATAAGGGTCTACTGGCAGAGGGAAAACAGCCGACAAAGAGAGAGGTCTCTTCGTACGACTGAGGTGCCGCGATCCGGAAGCAGAAGTCAAAATATAGACATTTTAATATACATTTAGTTTTTGTGCAATCTATAGATGCTGANGCCTTCCCAAATAAAGCGATTCAAGTCTCTCTGCCATTCTTTCAAGTTAAGTTCATTTTTTAAAATAGGTATCATCTGGAACAAAAAGAGAAACTTAGGTAAAATGTTCATTTTAATGGCCGCAATACGACCCAGCAAGGAGAAATGAAGTTTTTTCCACATTAATAAGTCTTTTTGTACTGATTTCCACAATTTCTCAGCCAGTCCTTGATTCTTGAATCTGGTTTTCAAGACAGTCTCTAATAGTCATCTGGGTGTCAACATTCAGCATGTAATAGATTTTTTTATTCTCCATCCTTCCAGTGTGTTTAATATTAACTACCATTATATGCGTATCTAGTGGTACCTGAATTCCAAAGGTCTGAAATGTGGACATGGTGAAGGATGTGCCAAAAAATCTTATTTTTTCCTTCATAAAATGGCCCTGGAAGCAAAGCTTCATGATCATATAGCATAATTTTCAAGAACATTCTTCTAAATTCAAGAAGAATACTTTGGGGGCACTGCCTTTATTGTTCAAAATATCTTTGTATATAGTATTATAAGGAGGGGGGAAAAACCTCCTCATACTCTTATCTCTGGAATAGATTTTGTACCAATCTATTTAAATTGATGCCTTTAAAATATGCTGTTGGATAAATGATTGAAAATACCTTGGACTACAAGAAGAATAAATCATTCAATATTACATGAAGGAAAGCAAAAAATACTCATTGTAGTACTAATGATGAAGCTAAACTTGAAATATTTTAGACACATAACGCAAAGGTAAGACTCATTGGAGAAGATTCAGGAAAATCAAAGACAGTACTGTAGAAATGAGGCTGATAGAAGACAAGGTGGTGAGATTCCAGATAATGCAATCACAAGCTTACAAGAGCTCAAAGAATTTATCAACAGACACTCCTGGTGAAATGAGATCCATCAGGTTAGGAACAGGTAGAAAATACTGAACAATAAGATTTACCTTCAAAGCAATTTCTCCTATAGAATGTTTATATCATCAGTACAGAGTTTATCCCTTAATGAGTATCTTTACATATAACTTTGCAGTTCTAACATACTTGGAGTCATACTTGTGTCAAGAGCTGTGTAATTATTATTTTTCCATTCATTTCCACGGCCAGATTTTTGTTTTTGTATATTAAACAGCCTTACAAGATGTACAAGAAAGTATTGAATATTATTTCCTTTCCTGGAATGACACTGTCCACATAAACTCCAAAAAGATCCCCGCAACTGAAAATAGTGCTGTTATTTGTGAACTATATCCAAATACACAGTATCAGATTTTGCTTCAAGTTTTCAGTGGACTTCACAGCATCACAAGTGAACCTGTGCAAGTGACTACACCAGATGTAGGTAGGTTGACTCTTGGTTTCAGCTTAAAACCTGAAAATTAATTAACTGTTTTTATGAGGGTTGAAATCTGTCACTGTTCCATTATGAAATAAGATTTTTAAAAAAATGCTGTGAAGCCGGCTGCTTCTGACAAGATAGTCAACTGTTTGACCAGAAATGAAAGGTATAAATCCAGCCATTCTGAGAGTTTCCCTGACATATTTCCAAACCAGTTGGCAAGCAGGAGGAAGGAAGGGAAAGGAGGTGGGGGAGAAGCAACTTGTGAATCTCAAATGCTTTTGGAATGGCCTTTCTAATCTTTTTGGCTTTGTAAAATCTCATTATAAACATTATAATATCATTACCCAGAAACAAGTGTTCCAGGTCATTAGCAAAGTACTTTAAGTCAGGATTGCATTTTCTTGGCAAAGCCAAAGTTCATCCCCTTTTTTATTTATAAAATAGAACCCACTGGAAGTACAATTTTTCAACTGGGAAAGATGGATTTACCCAGATAAAAATAGTTCCTTTGCATAGCTATTTATGACATGCTTAAATAATCTGTGTAATTTAATGCTAAGAAAGATGGGAGTTGTTTTGAAAAAAAAAGGTAATGCTTCATCATTATCTGTGTAATCATCAAAAGCATTTACATAATAATTTAATACACATTGCTTCACATTGCTCAAGTTATAATGCTAATAAAAGCTATGGGGAGATATCACCCTTAAAAGCTAACTTGCGGAGGGGGGGAGGTTTGAAACATGAGACTATACTGAATAATGAAGTTGCAACAGTTAAATAAATAGTCACATTCCTCAGTAAAGTTTAAGCAAGGTTGGAGATACAAAGGTTTTTACCATCCACTTTTCCCACAGTGTCTGAGCTTATAACAAGTCCATTTAGAGAACAAGTACATGATGCAAACGTTTTAACAAACCAGCAGAGAAGTAGCAGAGGCTTTCCTAAATCTAAATTCTAAGCTGTATTTGGTCCGACAATGTATTGATTTGGATTGGTTTTTTTTGTTTGTGTATACAAATGCATCATATTACTTATTGTTTAATTATAAAAATTAATAAAAATTTTAATAAAAAAAAGTGTTTTTACAATGGCAGATGGAGTTGATTCTGTTTCCTCCTTTATTTCTAGAACGAGAGGGCCTGTTCCCTCCAGAGATCATCGTCATCAATAGTACAGCTGTACATGTCATTTGGGCATTGCCTTCAAACTCAAATGGTGTTGTCAGGGAATATTCTATTTATGTGAATAATAACCGATATGAGACCACAATAAAGGTGCCTGGATCTTTCATTTTGGGAGATTTGTCTCCATTCACTCTTTATGACATACAGGTTGGAATATTTCTTTTTTCTTGTTTCATTTATAGTTCAATGTCAGTGTATCTATAGATGTACAGATATTAACACAATCCATATATTGTTTTGCATACAATCATGTAGATGGCATATGTTTGTACCTGTGATATATGAAACTTTGCTAATTCATGGAATAATTAGTAATGTGTAAAATATACAAATATAGTCAATTAATATTGCTAATACTGCATATATACTATATGTGTATATCACACAATATGTAAGTGTATATGTGCTTCCATACTGATAATTGGGTTTTTGCAAATTATTAAAATTTTCAAAGATTTTACACTTTAGTTTGCAGCTTATTAAAGGGAGATACCAAAAGATCTCTTTTGAACAGAGACCGTATTCCCATGTTATAGGAATAATTGAAAAAATGGAACATATTATTCTATATTGCCCCCTCCATGCAAGTTCTTATCAAGAATTATTATATCCATTCTTTATTAAATATCCTGGTCATTCTGACTTGTTTTATCTTCAGTTGTTATGATCAGATCAATCTGATTTTATTTCTTTGATGACAGTCGAGTACTGTTCTATAGTTTGTACAATACACCATAATATTTCTTCTAATCCTTTTTAGCTATTTTAGAAAAATTGTATTTTTCCTTCTTTATCCTAATTAATTGCAATTTTTCTGTTTTATCTGCTGATCTAAGACCCAGTAAAGATTGAGTAAGCGAATGAGCGAATGAGTGAGTAATTATAAATGAGATGAGGTATCTTTAACAATCTTCTATTTGGATGAGGCACCTTTAACAATCTCTTATGTTCAGAAAATAAATTGAAAATGCTACTAAAAATTAAAACAAAATAGTTTAATGTTAAAAAATAGACCAGTATTATGAATACCTGCAAATACATTAATACCTCAAACTATATGAATGTTGGACAAATTTGTTTTATTTGCATTGCAATAAAAATTTGGTTAATTTCTATTTCCTGAATCAGAAAGGAAAATGTAATCATACATCAATATTCTATTTTTCTAAATTATAAGAAAAAATGAACCAATGAAAAATTAATAGATATAGATGCCGTCTGGGTAAATATGCACAAAGGTCTATTGATAAAGCTACCTAATGCATTTATTATCAAAAGTGAGTAAAAATGTATACATTAGAAATATTGTGTAAACACATATACATAGACGGGTACATGCACATATACACAATCTCTCTTTTAAAATTATCAGGGTTAAATTTCCTTTCCTCCTGTGCTGCTGAACTTATATATATTACAGAGATTCAACTCCTACTGATTAAAACAAAATAGCAATTGTTTTAGAAACATCAGGCATGCATAAAACATGAACTCCCGAAATAATGATATTGCATTGGTAGCCTTTTATCATGTTTCCCTACCTCCCCTTCTTCTCTGGAATAGGATGATCTATTCATAGGATAGGAATAGAAATCCCAGTCTTTTAAAAATACAATTAATATTTAAACCCTTTGGGTTTTTTTCTCATTTTCCTTCTCTTTAGGCTTCCTCAGAAATTTTCAGGTTTTATGAATATTTGTGAAGAAAAGGCATACAAATACATTTTTATAATGGGTTTGATTTCATTTGTTCAAAATACTGCTTTAATTGCAACTTCTCTATTTTTTTTTGTCTCTCTCAGATACTAGCTTTCTTTGAATGATGTATGGGACCCCGTAATAGTAATCATGTATACTTTGTCCTACAATTTGCATCCATTTGCAACGTGCAATAAATAAACGTCAAACTATAACGGATTTCTACATTCCAGCCCCTTTTAGTAACATCCCCCATTCCCTATGAATATACATAAAACTTTCCAGTTTCCATATGGATACATATTTGTCTTTCTTCAACCGCAGTATAAATTCCAAGAACTTTTCATAGTTTTCAGACCTCAGGATTTATTATTGATGCCTTATATATTAATCAGCTAGCTTTTTTTAACTTCTCATATTTCAGGATTAGTACCAATGTCTGTAGCACTGAAATATCAGGTAAAATTCAAAGATTTAATTGTCCATTTGCTTTCCCTCCCTTGTTTTTATTTTTATTTTTTTGGCCTTTCATTTTACATATCCTATCAAATCTTAGCTTCCTAAAGTTATAATTAAATGGCTATCTGTCTTGCTTTTTGATGTCATATATAGACATCTGTCAATTTGTACCCAGGCGTATTGAATGACCTTTTTTGCTATTGTTGATGCAAAGGTGACATTATTAGTCTTTCTTTGGATCTATTTAAAGCACTAAAAACTCAGGAAGTCATATTTTGACTTTCATCTTTAGAGTTCATCAAACATTAATATGTTGCTACAAAGGTTCATTGTTTCTATTTTTGGACCGGAAAAGAAAGAAAGCTGATAGACTTACAAAGGTGAAGTGGCAACATTCTGAGTGTCCCTAACCCAAACTTATTAATTTAAATCTACTATTACTATTTTTGTAACCCACATTAAAAAACATATCATATCCTTATCTTTTGCATCATGTTTGCAAAAGGCAACTCTGAGAGGAGGATAAATTCCCTCATTAAAAGAATGCAAATCCCCCATGTATGTGAAGAGAGGAGGAACATTTGGATCATCTCAATATAGTTAGGATAGGTTATAATAATTTAAAGGATTTCTGGACAGTCTTATGTCCCGGTCTATCATTCTGTTATGAATACTAGCTTCATCATGAGATAACTTGACTAAAGAAATCCTATACTTTTTCAATCAAGTTGAAATACAAATAAATTTAAATGGTATGGATTACTTGGTCTAGATACTATATTGCACTGAAATTGTTTCCTAATATATCTCAGTGGTCTGGCTGGCATCAGATGCCATGGGTTATCAGCATCAAACTTCTGAAGAGGGAATACTATCTGAATAAGATAATTATCTAAATTTGCATATTGTGATTTTCTTCATGCCTTGTGTTGAGCTTCATGCTAGTTGAATAAGTATTTGAACCTGCTAAATTATAAAGCAGTAAAGAGCTCTAATCCTGGTTAGCTGGTACATGGTTTTATATAGGCCAGCTCCATTTTGCTACTAGGGAGATGCCCAACTGATTAAACTATAACTCACTGCCACTTACTGAGGTGTAATGCATAGGTAGGTATTCTTTAAAATGGTTTGTTTTTGTGGAAAAACATTCATCAGCACAGTATACTGCTGTGATGTGCTTTTGTTGGAAATAAATGCATTTATTCTGAGATTTTCCTATAATTAATTCCAAAGGCTAACCATTGCTGATTTCTTTTTTTAATTTACAGGTTTTATCCATTTTTTCTGATTTTATTGGTTTGGGTCAATTTTGTTACATTTTATATACATATATACATTTTATATACATTTCTTACCATTATATTAAATTCAGCTTTGCTACTACTTTGACTTCAAATTTTGAATGAGGAAAAGTACCCATTTTGATACTTGTTATTCTAGGTTGAATCCTGTAGACGGAATGCTTGTGTGAGAAGTAATGGAACCCAAATTAGAACTGCAGAAGGTGTGCCTAAAGACTTATCACCACCATTGATCTCTGTCCTTGGTTCAAGGTATTAAAATGTACTTGCCTTGTTTTCTACCTTAAGTAATAAGAATCAGTGGTGCTAAAAATAACTATATTGGCATAAATTGGACTATAAGATAAAGGTTTGTTTCCATATAAATCTAAGAAGGAAGAAGGTTACAACATGTGTGTTTGTCTATCTGCCTATCTATTTTACATCTTGTCTTTCATACTAGACTTAGTTTTGATCCAATATGTGGCAGTTATTTTCTGGTTCTTCATTTCCCCCTGCAAAGAAACTCAGTCTGAAGCTACCTATATACTACATACCTGCTCTACCATTCTTCTGTGTCTCTATTTTATACAAAAGCAATCTCAAATCTCACATAGTGTTTAGCTTGGCAAGAAGGCCCTGATTTTATCAACCTGAAAATACTGGAAGAAAAGGAGAAGTCATATGGGCATTACTGGTGAATATAGGGAGGATTCCCAAAGCCATCTTTATAGTGAAGGACTGAGAAACATGTGAATCAGTCCTGTGTCAAATTTTTATTGATTTAATTCTATCATGAAGCAGCTTCTCTGACATTTTTGCAAATATTGAGAGGGGCTCATCAGTTTTAATGTATCCAGATCTCCATTATTATTTTTTTCAAATGGGAAACTGATCAGACTTAAACATTAAAGGAAGTCATGTCAGCCTTTCGTATGTCTTTCTGCTCTCTATTCCATTCCATTCCTCCTATTAAATCAGTAAGTCGGGGAAGGATCCCAGATTCCGTTTTCTCCCTGCTTTGCTCCACTTTAGTTTTTGGTTTAGACTGGGCTCTTGTGGTTACTCCCACTTTATTAGCCTGACTAGAATACTAATCCATGATATATTAAAAAGGCATTAGGTGAAAAAGAAATTGTTGTTTATCTATATGCACATACTCTAGGAGATATAGTTATATATATTTTTTCTTACATTATTATGGTAATTTCTTTTTCATAGTGACAAATGTAATCATTCTTTTCCTAAAAGGCTCCATGAGTGCCAAACTTTCTAATAAAGTTTACACAGCAATTTCAAGGATATATCAAAATTATAACAATAATAAGTCTCCTGCATGATATTATTATTAATAAAATTTTATTACACTACTGGCAGAAGTTGGCATTTGGTTTACTTCTTCAAGAAAGAGTAATGTATTTTTTAAATAACTGAACATTTTAAGACATCTAAGTCTTTGGAAATATGCCTATAGGATATATTTACTCCTAAAGTCTTCTAAGGAAGCTTTGGTTGGTCTTTGTTTTACTTCAGTTTTTGCAATTATAATAAGCACACACAAACACACACACACATGTACTTATGCATGTCTTTGAGATGATATGCTAGCTAAGATATCAAAACACGCAAATGTAAAACAATTAGAAATCCTTTCCTGTTTGATCATCTGTTCAGTAGAATCGGACTTTTTTTCATTGCCTCCCCTTACATGTCATATTATCGTCAGCTGTTCTCATGTCCTAAGAGAATACTAACTACTGATCGATTGCCTGGACATGTCTGACTGTGGCCTACATATGCCCCAGGTAGTTCATTTATTTGCCACGGTGGATTTGCTAGAGTGGAATTTAATCAATAGTTAATTCATTAATTCTGGTCTTCAAGAATGTAAGGCCTTATGCTGTAAAAAAGTAGCTAGCTGGCTGGCTGGTTTTAACTGTGATTGAAATGTGACAATCACTGCGGTTGACAGCTTCAGCAAGTACTGGCATGCATATGAATTTTCCACTTCGTCCTCTGTTAAGGAAACCAATCCAAGAAGAAAATAGCAGATTGAATAAATAGGAAGATACTGTAATCAGTATCTGCCAACGAAGAGGTGATTTGGTTTCTAACAGACTCCTATCAACAGTGTGATGCATATTCTGCAAATTTTTGTAGAAGTTCTTCAACAAATTGACCTTGCTTTTTAGAAATTTCTTAACAGATCAAACCTATATTTGGGGTCAGAAAAAGCTTTGGAACTTGAGAGGACTACTATAGAACCATACAAAAATAATCGCACTCACTAAACCTTATGGCCTATGTGGTCAAATTGCATATCAGATCTGTTACAACAGAAAGTTTAGTTTTCCCTATTAGGGTAGCAATTATCTGGTGTCAAAATGTTTTGGTGGTCACAGCCAGGGCTTTTTTTCTCATAGAACACCCAGAATGGAGTTCCGGCACCTTTTTTGGATGGAACCTTGTAGGGTAGGCAAGGTGGTTTGTATGACATATGTGAGTTCCGGCACCTTTTTTTTTTTTTTTTTTTTTTAGAAAAAAAGCACTGGTCACAGCTATTATCAGTTGGTGTTTGTTAAAATACACTCACTGGCTGAGAGATAGGGATCTAGTTTAGACACTCAGTTATATCAGAAATTATATCTGGAGCTCCTTCACACCTCTCTATATGAAATGGCAAATGGCAAAGAAAATGTCAATTTGCCAAAGGGGAAGATGTTACTTGTATATTTTTTTAAGCCAATAGGGGTGGCTAATTCTAAGACCCAATTTGGTGTGGTGGTTAAGGCATCAGTCTAGAAACCAGAAGGTCAGTCTCATGGTCAGTCATTCTCTCTCTCTGCCCTAATGTCAAAAACTTCTGATATCTTGCCACGGAAATTGCAGGGACCTTTTGAGGCAATCCCCAGGAGTCAACACTGACTTGAAGGCACCAAAAAAAGAAAAAAATCAACACAACCTTGAAATTAATCTATTTTGGTGTCATAGTATTTAAAGGAATGAAAACGAATTCCTCCCCTCCTCCCAATTATCTGGGAATCTAAGAGGTCCTTTTACATTTGCTAAGAAAACAACAGTAGAAGACCTTGAAAACAAGGTGAGAGAATTAAAGTGGGTGCACAAAGTGTCATGTAACGCCCTTTGATTGTCTACCTAAAGACATGGTATTGGGGAGGAAGAGAAGGGAGATAGGCAGTCCTGCCCACTTCTTGTCATCTTCCTCATATAGAGAATTTACAGTGCTTAGAAGCTGCCTTAAGAAAACTACAAGTCCTAAGCATAATTACCTAGAAGGAAGAACAACTGAATTCAACAAGACTTAACACACAGGAACCACGCATATGTTTCCTTTGACTGCAATCCAGCACATACCATCTATTAATTAGTTTCCTTGTTGCAGTGAAAACCAAAAATCAGGGCCTCAAAATCTCTTCCACGTTTTCATCCTGATTTATGTACAGTAATCTGAGCACAACTAATCCTTTACCAGCATAACAGGAGCTTCCTCATACCTCCCTCAATAGAAAGTCAATTCACTGTGACTTCTTGCAGACCACACATTTATAGATTTATGCTTGTTGAGCTCAGATTTTCATAATGTCATTCTGAATGGGAAAGAGAGAGTAGTCTGTGGGTTTATAGGCAAAAGTGAAAATAATTTATTTTATAATGGGTACCATATTTTACAAGTAATTAACTTTAACCAGATATTAATTCAATTAATGTTTTTTTCGTGGCCCTGTCCTTTTTTTGAGTTTGGCCTCTGCAAATAAGAATATACATTTATCTATGTGTATATGGACACAAATGAATATACTGATATATCACATGCATGGTGTCATGGTCCCGACAGATAAAACTCTTCAAAAGAACTTCAAGGCATTGTTTTCCTTAAAGAATCTTTTATTCGGGAAACAAAATATCGGCACTACATAGTTGAACCCAAAAACTAAATTCCCCTTCCCTGGATACAAAGTAACAAAGTACAATTCCACCCCCAATAAACAGTCATAAAGCACATTCCCCAATTTGCTTGAAGCGCACGCTTTCTCCCAGCTCTCCAGCCTGCCAAAACGTTATCAGCTCTGGACCCAGTTTGTCCTTGGATTCCCACGGCAGAGTTATTATTATTATGACTAACTGAACTCTCATTTCAGTCCCCCCTCCCAGCACCAACTAATTCTAAAAGCATAGCGAAAATGGCTGCATTTTCATCTGTTGTCAAAGCAAGAACATCCGATGTTAGCAGCATTGACCCATGGGGTGTGTGTGTGTGTGTGTGTGTGTGTGTGTGTGTGTGTGTATACACACACACACACACACACACACAGTCTATTGTTCAATTTCATATTTGCTTTGTGCCCATTTCATCTACAGATGCCATTTCCTCCTTTAATTTCATGGATTAAATATTCTGGATTTTGGTGTCAATTAGATGTTTCTCAAACACTGAATACCAGAAATGGGATAGAGAATTGCCATGATTACTATGTTTCCCCAAAAGTAAGGCCTATCCTGAAAATAAGCTCTAGCTTGATTTTCGGGGCTGGACCTAATGTAAGCCCTACTCCACACCTAAAAATCAAGTTAGGGTGGGGATGGCGGTGTGGAGCTGCTCCATGTGCCCTGCCCCCACTTATCTGGCAAACAGTCCTCTCATTGCTGACCCACTTCTGCATCTTCTGTAGCCAGGCCTACATTTCTCAGTCACAGGCCTTTCCGGAAGGCCATTGCAGCCAAGAACCAAGCTATGGATTCAATCCATAGCTTGGTTCTGCAAGACCTCTATGCCATGTGGATGTTGTTTGGCGAGAAGGGAGGGGAAGAAACGCGAGTCCTGCATGACCCGATGATGGACACAACCTATCGACCGGCCATGAGAGGAGTGAGGAACATCAAAGACAAACGACGGGACGACTACTGCCTGCGCTCCCGCACACGCACCGAGGAGAAAAGAGCCTGACAAGTGGAGGAGCAACACCAAGGGCGTGTCAGACAGCCACCCTACTGGTAGACATGCGCGCCCCACCGAAGGCAGCACAGGGGGGAGTGAGGAAACCCAACAACAGGGGATTTACTCTCCAGGTGCTAGTACATGCACAAGGGGAGTAATAGGACTAGCAAATGTGAGAATGACATCTGAAACACGTAGGATAGACAGTTTGGCGAGGACAGCCCAGGATAAGTGGGGTGGGGAGAGAAGAGTAGGAGCAATCTGACAGCTGCCCCCTGGGCACTCACACACATGCCAGGGGAATAACAATGACTGGGGGCAGGGGAGCAATCTTGGAAGCTACGGATGAATTGACAAGCACAGCCCCTTTAAGAACAGCACGGCCGGTACTAATGAGTGGACCAATGACCTGTTCAAGGGTTAGAGCGCAGAGGCGGCCAGTTATATAAACTAACTCCCGGATCCGGTGTTTTTACACTCTGACGATGTCGGTAGATTGGCCAACGAAAGTTTAGTACTTTTTGTAGATTAAACAGCTTTGGTTTAAGATTTTTATCCTGGTGTTTGGATACTTTTATTACTGCCACAATATGTGTATACCCGGGATTCTTGTTTTTAACATTATATATATATATATAATTTATGGGAGACCATAAATCTAATCCAGTTTTAACCATGAAATCAGTTGGGTAACTCTGACTTAGTTACTTTATTTCAGCCGTAGAAAGAAGCAATGACAAATTTACTTCAAAAATGTTGCCAAGAAAATAGCATAGACATCTCCAGGCAATCACTAGGAATCAAGCTGAATCCAAGGTGTGTGCGTGCACACACATACACACACACACAGAGAGAGAGAGAGAGAGAGAGAGAGAATCGTAGTTAATTATGGTTAATTAAACCATAGCTTAAAGTGAAATGTGAACATAAACATTAGCTTTAGAGATATACTGTATAGTGACATATTGCTGAACAGCATGACTAAATTCAAGTATGACTGCTTTTGAGGAGAGTTTGATTTTATCTTAATTCCATCTTGTGCAAAAATATTTTAACAAAATCAGTATGCTGCACAAAATGTCAAAGAACATGATACAAAATACTTGTCATTTACCACTGGCTTATTTAGTTGCAAAATCATACACATTGAGATAGTATTTCAAATTGTAGGTTCATTTTTAACATTTAGTGTCCCTTTCTTTGTTCTTTTTTTTCTTCTCTTTCATTCTTTTGTTCTTTCTTTTTATATGTTTGTCAGTAAATCATTGATATGTAAGGGGTATTTTTTCTTTGAGTTGAATATGCAGTGAATATAAAATAGACTTCTACAGACTGTGGCATTAATTCAGTAAGTCAGATGAAGACTTCAGAATAATAATAGTGACTCTACAAGTAACCTGTGAAGTTATCCCTTCACAGTTGACATCAATTCTTCCACTAGAGATTGTTATTGCTAGGTGTTCCTCTGTTTATACCTCAAGGTAGTGAAATAATAGATCACTGTGTTATTTTTATTCCAAAAGATGCCAGAGTTTACAGTATCTCAGCTGCTGTTTCTGAACATAAGTCTCCAACTTTAAATGAATGCTAATTTACAGTGTCACAAAGAATTCTGACAGGTACTATCTAATTGGGTTATATTACTTTCTAAAATGATCCATCCAAAGTTAGGTGATGTTAAGTTTCCCTTACAGCAGGAAAGATATAAGGATTTACTTAAATCTTAAATGGGCAAATGGAACTTAAAGAAAGTCATCTTTAGCTCATCAGTGTTCACACTGTAATGTTGGAATTTGCCTTTAATGGATTTATTGCGGACAGATTGTAGCTCCACTTATTAATTAATCTTCTAGCCACAAGGTTGCAGGATTCTCTTGTTTTTAATATTTATCCTAAAAGTCCATTCCTATTCTGGATGGGAATTCTGCCAGTTATAGTGCCAAATATCTGAAGCAAATTAGGTAGAAGTCTGACCTTGAGTAATTGCATGAGATCCTATTATTGTTCTTCTTGTTTCCATTTCCATTCAGTATTTTTATCCAGAGGGCATTCAAGGTATGTACAAGGGGAAGGGATTTTAACCTTTTTTACTTCAGCTTCCTCACTTCTAAAATCATCTTTCTTCTGCTATTGGCAAGAAAAGAAAGAGTTTTCTTGAACAAAGCATCTGCAGATAAAAAGATTTAAGCCTCCCCTCCCTTGCATGTTAGTTCAGTTCAATTCATGGCTTTACTTGTGTTTAGAGTAAATTCAGAGGTTAACTGCATTCTGCATCATTAACATTATATGCAGTTCTCCCATGAAGTATCTGCAGTATGATATTATAAGGAAGGAACTATTTAATTATTTACATTTCTACTCAGGCATCTTTTGAGGAATATATTTAATGCATGTTTTGAAGATACAGAACTGGATTAATATTCAGATCTTTACAATAAATCTTGAAATTCAGCACTTATATTTCAGAACATTTAAATTACAATGATAACCAATCAGAGTTGACGTCTCCCATAAATTTGAAAAGCTCCTTCCCCAATTTATTTTTGGCCCTTCCCCAATTTATTTTTCTCTCCCAAGCTGAGATAAATTCTGTAAAGAAAAGGGAGGAAATATAAATAGGAAGAAGAATGTGGTGGATGAGGAATTCCAAATAGGTAGAAAAAAGTGTTGATTTTTTTGCAAAAAAAGGTACATAAATGTATCAATGATAATATATAAAATAATTTCCAATCATCTATAGTTTGTGCTACTTATTTTAAATTCCTGGGCCTTTCCAAATCTTATGGTTCTAGAATTTTGGTCCAACTTTCACTTTTTAAATTCCACAATATTTTTTTTTAATAATTAAAAGTAGGTATCACCAAGATAAAGAAAATGTGCTGAATTTTTAAATTGTTGCTAAACCTCAAGGCAACAAAATGGCCCAGAGCCATTTTGAATCTTGCATTGGAAGGATTTTGGCTATTGTCTATTAATTCTTAAATACATCTAAATTTAATTGGGTTGAATATGGCTACAAGCATGTTCATCACCTACTACTTCTCATGGTCTAGATCAGGGGTGTTAAACTGCCGGCCCACGGGCCGGATGCGTCACGAGGAAACCGCACCCACCCCAATGGGGAAAAAGCTCCGAAACGTCGTGCGATGTTATGTGACGTTGTGAGTTTGACATATCTGGTCTAGATTCTTATTGTAGCTACCTTACAAATTTCTGCTACTATAGTTTTCACTTGGTTGCCCAGCAGATGGATTATGTAGGATGGCCAGGTTCATCAAGAATGCACTTGTATGCACCCCAAATGCTAGCACTATGTCTAGGGCTTAATGCCTTTCCTGAAGTGGGAAAATGTGAGATGGCTGAAATCATCAAGATCTTATCTGCACATTGATCAGCTTCTGCAGCTGAAAGTTTTTCCAATGCATTCTCTAAAGAAGCTGAAATCACAATACAATTGTACTATAGCTCCTGCAAGCATGGTCTTAAGTCGTCAGTGCCTTCCCTGAAGGAAAAAAATATGAAAGGAGAAGATTGCTACAAGCTGCTTTTTGCAAAAGAGTCAACAGAATATCTATCAGTGCAGCTATGTCTTGCACAGCCAACAAGATTTGTTAGGGGATGCAGTGTTTTGTTTCGGTCAAGTATGTGTATAATAGTGTTCCATTATGCTGACTTTATTAATGTAAAAATACAGTACTTGTTTGTAGAAGCTGAAAGCAACTGAGCAGAGATATTAGCGTGAGGCTGTGACTCTGTTTTAAACTAAAGTTTAGCACTTGTTTTCTATTAAATGTCAGGGTCAATTATACATCCGAGTCTTCAACTCTATCTTTCTGCCAAAGAATGAATCATAATTTAAGTGTTGTATAATGATCAGAAGAAGAGAAGAGCAGAAGAGCTCCTTTAAAAAAAACTCAGACCCATTTAAAGCTTCCTCCCATTGCAGCAAAGTGAAAAAGGACACCAGTAAGGATTTGAGCATTAGCAGAAGCTGAAGTAAATTACAGCTGATATTAATTGAATTATGTGTTAATTGTTTTGCTGCTTCAGATCACTTCAGATTAACTGGACATCACCAGGACAACCAAATGGCATTATTTTAGGATATGAACTATTGCGTAAAGCTCAGCATCACTGCACTGAGGCAAAGCAACTGTCAAAACATCAACGTGAAGGAATTTGCCTACTCCTGGAATGCAACATTCATGAAAACATATGTGGAAGACAATGCTGTAATCCCCAGTTTAAGGTAACACCATGTAATATGCTGGCTTTGATCTTTAACTTCTACCCCAATCAAACTACAGGTAGTCCTCAACTTACAACAGTTCATTTAGTGACCATTCAAAGTTACAACGGCACTGAAAAAAGTGACATATGACCATTTTTCACACTTAACAACCATCGCAGCATCCCTGAGGTCATGTGATCAAAATTCAGATGCTTGGCAACTGGTTCATATTTATGATGACTGCAGTGTCCCGTGGTCATGTGAGCATCTTCTGACAAGCCAAGCCAATGGGGAAACCAGTTTCATTCCACAACCATGTTACTTAATTTAGTAACTGCAGTGATTCACTTAACAACTATGGCAAGAAAAGTTGTAAAATGGGGCAAAACTCACTTAGCAAGTGTTTCACTTAGCAACATAAATTTTGGGCTCAACTGTGGTCGTAAGTTGAGAACTACCTGTATAACAAGGATATCTAAAGGATCATCCACTGCTATATGAGCAGTGTATGCAGAAGCATACACATTTCCCGAAGCTGAACTAAAAATGCCTCCACAGTCAAAAAGGTAACAACTGGTTCTCTGTCCTAATGACCATTTTAAGTATTAAAAAATGATATATTGAAACCAGAGAGATGAAGTGTCTATTCCTGAAATTATCTCTGAGAAGCACCACCTAGTTTTCCCCTGAGTGAGGTGATCAAAGGTGCCACGTCTCTGTTTGGTTTCCATTGCTCCTCTCTTGGACTCTTGGGGAGGTTTTTTTTTTCCCTGCCTGGAAGGAAGTTGAACAAAAACCAGATGTGTTCCAGAAAACACCGATTTATCATAACTGGTTTGCTGAACTCAACAAAAAATTTGGTATCGGTTCTGCTGAACCGGTATGAACCAGCTGGATCCCACCACTGACCCAATCTCATACTCAAGAGGTAAATAACAGTAGAAGCTTCACAGTCTTAGCACTACCAGGTGAGTTGCTTTATTGGAAATAAGAAAAGTATCATGTAATAAGGATGATCTGCCCATTACAGAACACACAAATCAAGCACTACATGTACGTCCGTTCTGGGGTTTAAATTGTAAGCTTTTTTTTCTCCTTCCCTTTCATATCAATAAGATTTTAGCCAGTTTTTTCCCCAGCTTTTGCTTACAATACTTCTATCTGACCTGTGGAGTGCTGGTTTCCATCTCCCCAGCTTCAATTTTTATCCCTCTCTAGTTTATCTATCTCCATCCCCACTGCAGCTACCAGATATCCATCTCTTCCTGTTGTCTGACAGTGGAGAGCATTGTTCCTTTCTGTCAGTTTCTACTGGAGCTTGAAGGAAAATCTCCCTTCTTCAAACTTTTTTTTCTATCTCCTCCTCCTTTTATCTGGAAATCTCAGAACAGGGAGTACATTTTCATTTTCTGCTTTGACTAAAGTCATAAGGGTTTCCCCTCTTTTAGACATTCTGCCTCCCTATCCGAGCACTAGACAGCAAGATGAGGCAGTTTGTATCTCTTCTATATCTTCACCAGGAATTCACCCCATTCAAGAATCCTCCTTCTCAGATTCAGCCAGGGTAGTTTCTGTGTCTTTCTCAATCATATTTCAACATTTCTTTCCTCTTCAACAGCCAGTCTCTCTCTCTCTCTCCCTCAGAGACAGAATTCCAGACAAACACTGAATCCAGACTGTGTGACCAGTCAGGTGCTTTGGGTTTGTGAGGATACTGTAAATACAACTGTTGAAGAAACTGGAAAATCGATACTTTACCTGTTGCTTCCCCTGATCTCTCCATGTCTGGTTTATCTTTCCAAAGAATTAATTATTCCACTCTATCCCTTCTGCTCTGGTATTCCAACTTACCTGAAATTCTTCCTCCCCTCTCAAAAAATGGGAGCTTTAGGAATATAGAGGTGTGAAAAGGGGTCATTCAGAACCAGGATGGTAACAATAAAAAACATGAGGTATTTTAAGCATTACTTGAAGCTGCAAACTAGGGGGGGGGGCAGGGTTGACCTGTGCAAGTAGAGGAAATGGTTATATAACCTTAGCATGTAATATTTTTCATCATTTGTATGAAGGAGAAATGTCTAGCAAAATTTCAATGTAGTCTTCAGTGATTGATGTGAGGAACTTCATGACAATGATGGTCAGCAGAGCACTAGTAGGATGTCTTGATTGATTCAGATAACCTGTGAGACCCATCCGAATGGCTTGTAGTTCCTGGAACAAACAGGAAGCCTCTGAAATATGGAAAGTGTTTGGCAGCAGGTTCAAGAGTAACAACAGGTAGCTTGAAATGACAATATATGAGTAGAGTCAACAAACAAAAGTAACCAAAAAATCAGGCTAATTATCTTGCTGATAGTTTACACAGTAATGAATGCATTGCTCTAAGGTGGCATTTGTTCTTTCTGTTTCTCTGACTGTGGGTAATGGGCAAAGGACAAAGGCAATTTATCATTCAGTAGTGGAAATAGATCTGTCAAAAATGGTCTATGAATTGTGTGCCTCTTTCAGAAGTAAAATGACTGAGGAAGCTAATGCACCTAGGAGTTTTAGGGAAATTTGTGGAATAAACAGGATGGCGTTTCAGTAACAATTGGAAATCTATGTCAGGGAAAGAAATGGACAGTCTTAGAAAAGAGGTCAGATACTATCAAAATTGGACCCAGTCCCTTGACATGTAGTTGATCGGTAAAAGAAAAGTCCAAAGAAGCAGTGTCCCAACTATGAGGAGGGAAGGTCCAGAGACCACAGGTTTCAAAAATTGTAGAAGAATTATGTCTGCTTGATCTATTAATTGTTTTAATTTTTTGTGATCATTTTGGAACTGGATATAGCATTACAAGCCTTTAAGGAGAAGGTGCCATTGATGTGAGACTTACACGATGGCAAAAACTTTGTGTTTAAAATATCATAGTACTCTTCAGTTAGCAGGAGCTGACTAAAAAAAATGCACAGGGGAGAAAGCTGCCATCAAATTGGGGTTTATTGGAAAAGTGACATGCTCAAGGTGAAATCTGTGGAAAGAAGGAACAGGTAGGTTCTGGATAATGGACAATGGCTGAGAAGTGAACTATTATTTTAGGATTCATATCACAGGGGTCTGATCTATTGGGAACAGTTAAGCAGAGCATAAATGCACCATTATATCAATTTCTGTAGTGTGGTATTTCAGGCTGTTGCTGTGAGATCATATTGTTTTAGTAATAATAACCTGCACAGTGGCATTGTTAGAATTCTGAATTCTACCATGAAGCCAGCATATATCATAAACATCTGCCCTGCTGAATGGGAACAAACCCACTATTGATTTTTATTTTTTAGCATAGCATAACACTTTCTCAATGGTACCTGACCACATTATACAGATTCATTTCCAAAAATATTTTGTGACCTCTGTTGCGCTGCTGTAAAAATGAAAAGAGATAACTAGGGACTATTCTCTAGTGCATTTTAGTCTTTTTTATCATTTATCATAATCCAGATGGAAAATATTAATTTATTGGGATGGTTAAATTCCTTTTGGGGTACTTGGTTGATTGACTGATTTGTTGCTATTTTACAGCAAATCCATTTAGTTTTATCTATAAGTGGATGGTTGTTTATGTGCTAATGATGAGTAACCCTGAATGAGGCCTATTATGATTTGTCAGAAATATTTTAAACTTGTGGTCATTTGCAGATTAATGTTTATGTTAGTTGCAAGTTAAGAATTGGATCAATACTGCAGTCAAAACAGTACAAGCCTATACATTTTTTATTGACAAATGAGGTAGAAAACTCTTAGTCTGAAGGTAAGATTTAATATAATAAAATAATGTTCCTGTTTGTCAGCAGCAGCATCACACATGTAGTGACAGTGTGTATTTATAAGATTTGTTGTCAGACAAAGCATCAATTAGGAAAGTGAATTATCTCAGTGATTCAAACAAAAATATAAATTACGTTGGCTGACATAACCTTAACCACAAAGCCTGTGGGATGATGGATCAGTCCAGGAAGTGTTTACCACTTCCCCTTAAAATGAATATTTGTTTATGATGTATACTTATTTCTCTTTAAGATTACAGAACAAAGTAAAATATATTGTACAACTTAGGTACCAAATAAGTTGTATAATATATTTACTTTGTTCTGTAATCTCTAAAACTATCTTAAACTCTCACTAAGGTAGATTTTCTAATATACAAGTATGTTTTGAAGCTGGAAAATCCTGTTTGTCATTTAATGATAATTGAATTTTAATATATATCCCTTCCTCTCTATTAGTCCAATAAATCAAGGCCTTATTCTACCATCCTGCTTTTCATAACCCACCCAGCCAACCGTATACTGAGGGAAATATGATCCCCAAAGTCAATTACCTGGAAGAAGGTTTCCAAATTCAGTGGACATGATGGACAATTTAATCAACTTGAAATAAGACACATTTCTGCTTATTTTCTTGCCTTTAGTATTATAATAACACTACGCTGAATATATACTCTATACTGTATTCACATACTTCTGGTAAGAATCTGTATACTGGTTACAAGTACTTTTCATTGGAAGGATTTCTGCAAAGCATTCTTCTGTATACATTATTCTTCAATGGATTTTATTTTAGCAGAACTGGGATGTTAAACAGAGTTACTATAGCTGTGGATTTCCTATTATGGGCCAAGGGCCTCCATATTGTTTTTTATTTCAAGAAATCATATTAATTGCTCCTTGGGTTGTTCATTGTTTTCCTTTGCAAATGAAACATAACAGTAACTTTTAAAAAGCTGAATTTTATGTATTCAATTTATATGGCTGCCCATTTTAACCAGTGACTCTGGGTCATGAACAAAATTTTAAAAATAAAACAATTATAATAATATAAAGATTTAAAACTATTGCCGGAAAATAAATCATGCATCATAATTGCTAAAATAACCAAGGAATGGATCATACTCAGAATCTTAGCACCAGGCAAAAAGCTAAGTCTTTAAGGACTTACAAAACATCAGCAGGATTTGGGTGTTTTGAGGGTTTTTTATCTT